AATATCCAATTTGGCCTACCCTGTACAACCTCTCAAATAGTGAAACATTGATGACACACATCACAAGTACCTACATGTGAGAAGTAGAAAAAATCTCTAAAAACAACCTCAATATTTTATTTTCAACTTTAATATAATTATCAAAATGTATCAATCACATAGAGAGAGAAACAAAGAGAGAGGACCTATAGGCGAGCATATAACAAAGAAAGAGAGTAAAGCATACACTGTGATTTGTCGCTCGGATGTATGATTCATTATTAAATTAAACCTGGCTAAAATACATTCAGTTACAAATTAATGTAATCTGCCCCGCATGTTGAACAAATATTTTTATTACGGCCATACGGTATGGTCTTTATTATATACCGGATGTCTTCTTAAACTATAACCTTTGATTGAAAATATAATAAGATGGGCAACCTTAAAGGTGCGTATTCATTATCCGCACGAACGAACGAATGTTCGCTAGTGGTATGGACGGGGACCGCACGATAGGACCGCACGAGAAGACCGGAGGCATTTGTTGGCGAACGCCTTTGATGCACCGACTCGAAACGGATGGTCGAGCGAACGAACGAACGAACGGCCGCATGCGTTCGGTCCCCGTCTAAATATACCGCACTTTCATTCGTTCGTTCGGATAATGAATACGCACCTTTATGTGCGATTTATACGCGATAGTTATGCTCTGCGCCGCTGCGCGCTGATAGTCGTTTGCAGCACGGTGGATAAAGAATACTGTACCGTAGTTCTGATTTCAGTCGACAGAGTGAGTGGTTGCCGGAGACAGTGTTGCCAGAACTACAGATTAATCCGTAGATTTACGGATTTTTGGTACAGTACGTTAATAATACGGATTGTCCATCATTAAACAATATAATATATTATACAGGGTGGCCCATCGAAAACGTTCCGCAAGGCATAACGGCCAGGGTAATTTTTTTTCACAAAATTCAAAAACACGCCAATTTTGTTTGTGAGAGGGACAACTTTTGCCCCAAAAATGATTGCAAAATCTTCAACCCTCTAAGCGGGGGTGTCATCCCCCAATTTTTTTCAAATGGGGAGGGGGGTCAAGTGGTACTGCAATGAAAAGGGCTTTCTATTCTCTATACTTTCCGGCTTCGTTTTTGAAAATCGGTCGAGTCATTGAGAAAATATGAAGGATTGAAATTTGAAAAGTTTATTTAAACATTTATCAGAGTAAATAATAAGGATAAATTCCTTCTACCAATTTGAGGTTTTTTCTTATTATTTCTAGATGTTTACGCATTTTTTCACTTGCCACAAGGTTGAACGATCAGGTTCGGTAGTTGCTAGATAGCTGTTCTGTGACTTATGCGTTGAAGTTCTTCTCCATATCGTTACTTTTTTTAACAATTATTATGCTATACTCACTTGCAGAAAAAGTGGAAATAATCGAACTTTATTTCAAAAATAATGAATGTGGCAATCGGGTTGCGCAGATATTCAATGAACGCCATCCTGACAACCACTTTTATGGCAAAATTGTTCGCGAGTTAGTAGCAAAATTTTGCGAAACTAGTTCCGTTATGAATAAAAAGAGGCAGAGGGAAAATCCTGTAGTAAATGAAGCTATGGAGGTATTCGTGTTGGGCAAGTTGCCATAGATAGTACGCTGAGTACAAGACAATTAGCCAATGAGACCGGCGTGAATCGTACAAAGTTCCACCCGTACAACATTCAGTTGGTACAAGAACTCAACGAAGACGATTTTGATCGTCGTGTGAAACTATGAGTGAACGAGTGGCGAATGATAATCATTTCCTATTTTATGTGTGTTTTTTGGATGAGTGTACTTTCTTTTTGAACTGTGTAGTTAATCGGCACAACTGTCTGTACTGGGCTGAAGACAACCCCAGGGTTTTTCACGAGGTGCACACACAAAACCCTCAGAAATTGAACGTATGTGCTGGTATTTTTGGAAATTCTATTGTAGGTCAGTTTAACGATATTGAGAAGAACATCAACGCACCAGTCATAGAACAGCTATCTAGCAACTACCGCACCTGATCGTTCAACCTTGTGGCTAGTGAAAAAATGCGTAAACATCTAGAAATAATAAGAAAAAAACTCAAATTGAAAGGAATTTATCCTTATCATTTACTCTGATAAATGTTTAAATACACTTTTCAAATTTCAATCCTTCATATTTCCTCAATAACTCGACCGATTTTCAAAAACGAGGCGGTGAAATATAGAGAATAGAAAGCTCTTTTCATTGCAGCGCCACTTCCCATTTGAAAAAAGTTGGGAGATGACACCGCCGCTCAGAGGGTTGAAGATTTCGCAATCATTTTTGGGGCAAAAGTTGTCCCCCTCACAAACAAAATTGACGTGTTTTTGGATTTTTTGAAAAAAAGAATACCCTAGCCGTTATGCCTTGCGGAACGTTTTCGATGGGCCACCCTGTATGATTAAACCAAGAGCGGCGTCAGAGTTGGCTTGGAAATGAATATCATATTATGGTAAATGTCAATAGTCATTTCCAAGTCAACTAAACTATTTTTTTTATCAGACGAAATATTCAGTACCTAGTAAAGAATTTTTATTTTTGTGGTTTGTATTAACCTGACCTAACCTAAACGAACTCCAATACATGCTTTCAAATGTTGAAATTTCTACATTGATTTTCGGCGATTTTTGTTATAGATACGATTCTTGGGACACCATGTATGAATCGATCGAGCAGGCTAAATAGACAAATACATATAATTTTGATGTAAAATCAAACAATATCAAATTATTATCTGATTACTGGGAGTAATTGCTCACTATTGACTCCATCAAAATTTAATTGGCTTAAATTATTATAATTGAAGCGTTGAATAATATATATTATTGTGAAAACTGGTAAATAATTTTCACTAAAGTTTATTTGGTTTGACAATTCCATTCATTAATTATCCATATAAATCGTTCATTAAAGAGGGGTTTATTAATATGGTTAAGTTATAAATAAGTTAATATAATTATAATATAAACAATAGGGCTAATTTTATAATATAGTTTAACAGTAATAGTTACAAAAAAACTATTAATATTAAAATTTTTCACAATTTTTTAAGTACCTACTAATAATAGTATGTTGCGACGCTGTACGTTTGACGTTACAGGCAAGGCACAAAAAGTCATTTTTACTTCGAATAGAACATGCTATTTTTTTCAAATGTTCCAAAAAATTAAAGCAAATTTAAAATTAATAGGTACCTTCTAAGTAATTATTATACCGGGTGCGTGTCAAAAGTGGCTCACCCCCTATAACTTTTTTATTTTTTCAGACAAAAAAACGAGATTTTGTATGTTAGTATCTGACATAAATTAGGATTGATTGACGTATTCAATTGTTTTTGGTCACTTCCTGCGTTTTACCGGAAATGACTACAACTTTTGATTTTTAAATGGCACCCTCGGTATTTTTTTACTTTATTCGATAGAAAATGACATTCTGAATAGAATGACATATCATACGTAATTTTTGACGTTCTCGCTTAATAAAAAATTGTACTTTAAAATTCAATCTAGAGTGCCATAATTATGTTAAAAACACTAATTCTTAATCAAGGAGCCTTGGAAAAATAGATTTGATCGTCTAATGTTTTTAGTGTCTTGTCCTGGTCAGTTAGAAAATGGCCAAATCGTATTTTTTATCATATCTCAATTTTTTCAAATGGAACGAGGGTGGCTCATTAACATATTTGAAAAAAGCATTAATTTACGAATAATTTGATACCACACACTTGGTTAGGTTGAGTTGTAAACTAAATTTAAGATAAACATGATTTTTTTTGGGGTATTTTGTTCCAATAAAACCATCAAATTTGCTTTTATGCATCAAAAAATAATCTTCATCAAATAATTCTTAAACTATTAAGTTTCTCGAAAAATCATGAGACACCTGCTTTTTTGTCGAACGTTCAATTCTCTACAAAATTAAGTAAAAGGATCTTTTTTACGACACACAACAGACTAACAATAAAATGCACATGGTGCAGAACAAAATTTTTCCATGGTATTCTTATGGAAAATAGAAAAAGGTGATGTGGACAGTATTAATATTAATATTAAAGGCTCAAATTTAAGTGATATCTTTACGTCAAATTGAAACTTTTGAGCCTGTTTGCAACAACAAAATTTTTTATTTTTTTATATATATATAATAATATGTTGCCATATTATTATCAAGATATTATGTTTTTTAACTAAAAGTTAAAATAGCTGTAAGAATTTTGTTCTAAAGCTGTAAGAATTTTGTTCATTTCATATATTTGAGCGGGCCGAAAAACGCTCTTTACCATCTTTTGACGGGAGATGCACTAATATCTCACCGACACTTTACGACATCGTCTGTAGATATAGAAGAAGTTTTGCTTGCCGTATCGGTGAGAACCAGCCCCTGGACAGCCCACCTGATGAAGGTTAGGCCCAGAAACCGGTTGTGGGAGTGGAGCTTGGTTCCCCCCTTTACGACAAGCAAAACAATTTTCTTTTTACTTTTTATTTTTTTTTTTTAATTTTTTCTCTACTTTCGATTTTTCGAAATTAGAAAAAATACACAGCTGAAGGCAAGAAAATATTATTTATTAATATACACTAAAGCTGTAAGAATTTTGTTCATTTCATATATTTGAGCGGGCCGAAAAACGCTCTTTACCATCTTTTGACGGGAGATGCACTAACATCTCACCGACACTTTACGACATCGTCTGTAGATATAGAAGAAGTTTTGCTTGCCGTATCGGTGAGAACCAGCCCCTGGACAGCCCACCTGATGAAGGGTAGGCCCAGAAACCGGTTGTGGGAGTGGAGCTTGGTTCCCCCCTTTACGACAAGCAAAACAATTTTCTTTTTACTTTTTATTTTTTTTTTTAATTTTTTCTCTACTTTCGATTTTTCGAAATTAGAACTATTTAAAACTGAAACTGTATTTATATGAAAGTCTATAATCAACTTAATGTATTTTATCTTTGTTTCAGGTGAGTGTGTGTCCTTTGGCCTGTTAAATATCGCCTTCTGACACATGCCCCTTCTTCGTAATGAGCTATTCGCAAGGTTCGTATTCTCCTTCACGCTTGTTTCCATGTTTGTCTCTCAATGTTAACTTTACGTATGTTATTTAACCCTATTCGCATGCTTTACCCATCTTTAGAAAACACACATCTTTCTTTTTTATGTAGACTTTTAGAAATCATTATATTCAATTGTAACATTCTTTTATTTGAGTATATTTTGTGTTTGCGTTCTTCCTGTATCTCATAAACAAAGCATGATATTACAATAATCCTAATTACCTGATAGTAAGTTTCACGCAAAAATAGCCAACCAAAAAAAATCGCAATCCTTTATCTTGAATAATGATGGAGATATTTAGCAAACACTCTGAAAATGAGATACACTGCCCAAGTAGCCTTTAGTCTACTTCAATCTTCAGTCTGAAGTATTATACAGGTATGGAAGAAAATTTTTTACTCTTCAAAATAGTTTAAACACATGTATGTGGCGCCCCCTACAAATAGGAGTCATATTAAAGATCATGTCAAAAAACCACCAATTTTCATCCAAATATTGACGTTACTTCAGAAATTATTTGGAAAAAATCGAAATAAAAATGAAACTTCTACACCCTGTATCTCCGAAACTAAGCATTTTAGGACAGACATTTATACGAACATTCTTACTTATTTTTATTTGCAAAATATGCTGCCGAAGTTTCCGGATTACAATTCGAGCCAGCCTGTATATTTTTACATACGTGGGATTTAGTGAGATTCAGCTTGACCAGGCAACATCGCACATTCGGTGGCAGCAATGACTAAAGAATTCAAGGGCAAATAACACCCGAGAGCAAATTGTGCCGATGTCACCAAACAGTGCCGTGGCGCATATTTTTCTTAACCTATCTGTTTGAAGTAATATTTATATTTTTTGATAATTGTTTTGACTACGCCTATGGTGTATCATCCTAATTAATTACGAAAAAACGTATTAAAATATTAACAAAAGGAAAACTAGTATCGACGAATAGCACATATCAAGTACATATAGATGTTAATTGAAATTGAAGAATAATTATCGAATTCAATAAGAAAACGCTAAAAAGTTGGAGTGGACTGTGGTGGCAACAATGACTAAAGAATCCAAGGACAAATAACACCCGAGAGCAAATTATGCCGATGTCACCAAACAGTGCCGTGGCACATATTTTTCTTAACCTAGATGTTTGAAGCAATATTTATATTTTTTGATAATTGTTTTGACTACGCCTATGGTGTATCATCCTAATTAATTACGAAAAAAACGTATTAAAATGTTAACAAAAGGTACAAAACTAGTATCGACGAATAGCACATATCAAGTACATATAGATATGTTAATTGAAATTGAAGAATAATAAGAAAACGCTAAAAAGTTGGAGTGGACTGTTTATTTACCTATGAAACGTAACTCCTGACTCATTCTTATCGCTGCTGCTTTTACACTTGGAAGCTGAACAACTAATCACCATTGTAATAAAGTTTATACAAAGTTTACTACACACAAACTATTAAAAATCGCTAAAAACTTGTCGCTGGTGACCAAATAATGACTCATTGTTTGCCACCAAAAGAAAGGTCTCTAAGGTCACAAATTCTGCTGCAGCCCATATAGGGGCGTTAGATGTCCTTATATTCTTTAGTCATTGGGTGGCAATTTTGCACAGTCATCTCACTGAAAAACGCTCAATCTTCCTACGTTGCCACGTCGTCGTCACCCGTCCACATCCACTGCCCTTTATTAATAAAGCGTCCAGACCATTTCAGAGGTGGGGGCGGCGAGGTAAAAAAATAGAAGAAGTAACATTCCGGGCATACAGTGCCCGGATCAGACCCGGATTATTTATGGCCCAGTCTAATTGCGAATATAGCGCACTTGTGCCATTAATAAAAACGACAGATCGACAAGGCGGAGTGCAACGTTGCCGGCTTGTTGTTTTAGCGATACTGTAATTCTTTATTATGGCGTAACAAATCCTTTTTACTATCAGGGCAAATCTGAATGGGGTCTACTCGGTTTAAGCGGTTTCCAGACCGTGGTTAGTGATGATCAAATGAACGATCAAGACCAATACTGTCCTGAGATGAACCGCCTTTTTAAAAATAGACATATTTCTTTAAATCTAAAATATTCAGTTTTAAGACCCAAGTAGCATCTATCTGACTTCGAACTAAATCTGACCTGAAGCGACGTCCGCCTTTGTGCAAATTTAGGTCGGGTGCTGGTGATACGACCGGTGACGTCGCTTTCATATTAAAAGCGACGTCGTTGGATCCGAATCGGTAAATCCAACGATCTGTCGACGTACAAAATAACAACGTACCATTTTTATTAATTTCCCAACGTCGTTCCCACGTTGGCTTGCACGACGTACATATACTTGAACTAGCCCGACGTCTACCCGTTGTCCGAATAGGATACGTCTCACTGATAAACCCTAAAGTAACGTCCAATTATATTTTGTTGTATTTTATGTTCATATTTATAACCTAATTTACGTATCTCTATTTACGTCCGTAAATGCAACCCATTTAGTAGCATTTGCGACCTAATGAACATAATGAACATAACCTAATAAAAAGTTTTTGTAAACAAACTTATTTTTTTTTATTATGCCTAAAAAAGCACTAAAAAGGTCTAGAAAGCACTAGAAAGTGGTCGAGGCTTTTGCAAAATAATAATAGTAGTAGTGATGTCTTGCCTCCACCCATAAATCCTTTTTATCCGGAAGAGCTGCTGCATTACACTGGTGCATCTTAATTTCATTTTTTAGCTTAGGAAATCAGCAGACCCCATCTTTCTCCCACATGCGAGGTTAGGCTTAAAAAAGTGGCTGCCCATTTTTTTTAAGGAGAAAACAAAAACTAAAATATAGTTGCACAAATCCACAAATCACTGATACTCAAAGTGAGGTTACGTGGCGTACGTCGGAATTATATACGTCATAATACGATTGCAGGTCGTCCGGTTTGATGACTTCGGTCGTGTAAGACGACTAATGTTGGAGACCCGGTCGGAATTGGTATATTAGTAGTTCATATTAAGTCGGACACAGAAATTCGCCATTCTTAATAAGTATCCGATTGTCAGCCATTTTAAAATCGTTTTTTGTTTTTAAAATTTATATTCACATTTCGATTTCTAGTAGAATAATATTGATAAGGTTGTGTTTGGGGTGAACCACAATACAGTTTTATAATTAAACCAGCTAAAAAATTATAAAATATTTTGCGAGTTACTTTTTTATAGATATTTCTATTTCATAAATCTACCTAATTTTGAAGGCGCTCGTTGTTTTCCGGAGTATTTTAATCAGATATATCACAAAAGTGACTTCCGTTGACAAAACTGATGTCTGGATTAATGATTCAGAATTATTATAGTATTAAATTAGATAGGCACTTATAGTTATATTCGAGGAGTGATTATGAATCCATTTGTAATTAGGTAGTTTGGTTAGGTTTTTATGTATTCTTGGTAGCGAATATGAAACCAAACGTAACGTAAGTGCTTAGCGACGAATTTTAAGTAACTAAAATCGAACGTAATATGACGTTGGTGATTGGTAGAATTACATTCCCTATTAGGTCAGATACCGACGTAGAGGCGACCCGAATTTGTATTCCCCATTTAGGTGCAAATAAGGGTCGTCAGGTGGTCGAACCGACGTTGGTACCCGACGTCGGGTTTATTGAACGCGACGTATACCCGACGTTAAATAACGTCCAAATGCTACTTGGGGACACTCTATATACATAAATAAAATTATTGATTTTTAAAATATTATTCGCAAGAGTAGGGAGAGGGAAATCAGGCGACGACCAGAGAGCATAGTTGTACTTGAATAGCTTTTAGACTACGATTCGAGGCGCATTGATGTTATTTTTGGTTCTTGAGTTTTGCGATAAAGAATGTTATTAAAGGTAAAGTAAATATTTTCTCATTATTTCTTCATTTCATAGCCATTGCTGACGCCGTTTTTATTCGATCATACGGTATTTAATCAACATGTTTAATTTATGTCAGTGATGACAGGTATTGATAATTTCGATTCCAAATATCTCGAGAACTATTATTCGTAGCGATTTTTAGCAAGATACCTTTTTTACGTAAAAAATAACAGAAATGTATATTTTTACTCAATAGTTTTATACAGGTACTGACGAAAAGTTATTACTCTTCAAACCAGTTAAAAATATGTACCTAGGTGGCGCCTTCTTCCCTATGTCTCCGAAACTAAGCATTTTAGGACAGACATTTATACGAACATTCTTACTTATTTTTAGTGGCAAAATATGCTGCCGAAGTTTCCGGAATACAGTTCGGGCCACCCTGTATATTTTTACATACGTGGGATTTAGTGAGATTCAGCTTGGCCAGGCAACATCGCACGTTTGGTGGCAATTTTGCACAGTCATCTCACTGAAAAACGCTCAATCTTCCTACGTTGCCACGTCGTCGTCACCCGTCCACATCGACTGCCCTTTAATAATAAAGCGTCCAGACCATTCCAGGAGTGGGGGCCGGGCGGCGAGGTAAAAAAATAGAAGAAGTAACATTCCGGGCATACAGTGCCCGGATCAGACCCGGATTATTTATGGCCCAGCCTAATTGCGAATATAGCGCACTTGTGCCATTAATAAAAACGACAGATCGACAAGGCGGAGTGCAACGTTGCCGGCTTGTTGTTTTAGCGATACTGTAATTCTTTATTATGGCGTAACAAATCCTTTTTACTATCAGGGCAAATCTGAATGGGGTCTACTCGGTTTAAGCGGTCTCCAGACCGTGGTTAGTGATGATCAAATGAAAGATCAAGACCAATACACTCTCCTGAGATGAACCGCCTATTTAAAAATAGACATATTTCTTTAAATCTAAAATATTCAGTTTTAAGACACTCTGTATATATAAATAAAGTTATTGATTTTTAAAATATTATTCGCAAAAGTAGGGAGAGGGAAATCAGGCGACGACCAGAGAGCATAGTTGTAAAGGAATAGCTTTTAGACTACGAT